CCTGGGATTTTTTTTTTTTTTTTTTTTTTTTTTTTTTGGAGAGGTTTTTGCTATAGGGCGTGTGCACTTGCCATTAAGACAGAGAGAGACAGAGATAGAAAGTGAGAAATCACCCCCCAGGGAGATGGCCATGCCGCAATCCCTTCTCCTCCATTCTCTCGGGATCTTGGGCACACACACAGACGCGCCCGGTGTGAGTTTAAGCCACCGGGTCCGGGACTCAGACTGCGGTTGGCTACATGGGAGTTCAGTGACATAGCCATTACGCTGCTGGTCCCCCCTTTTTTCTTTTTTTGAGAGTCTGACCCTGCCCACTGCCCTGAGGAACCTTGTGGCCTTTGAATGGCTGTCTGGAAATCACTAGTTATGTTGTTACTCCACTGAGCTCAGGTGACACCTGCTATCCCTCTGCTGCTCCTGTGAAAGTGGCTTTGCGTAAGGATGGCCTGGGGAATGCCTCCCCTGAGAACCTTGGTGTGGGCTTAGGGTGCTATTTGATACAGGAATGCAGAATGTAATCGTTGCTAGTTGGAGGGACTGGGGCAGATGTCATTGCAAATCTCAGAACGAGGCTCAGGGCTGCCCACGTGCAGAAACAGCACCTCGCTGGCCTGCTGTGTATGTGAGGATGTGTGTGTGCTTGAGAGACTTGCCACAGACACCATGCTGAGTTCCGTTCTTTCTGCCCCTGTAGAGAGAAGACACGGTTCCATGTGCAGACCTGCTCCCTCTCCTGCATCGCCAGCCTCGAATCCCAGGACATCACTAGGACAGGTGAAAACAAAACCCTGTCTCAGCGGCCATAACTCTGCCAGCAGCACCTCAAAGCCATTCAAAACGCCCAAAGACAATCTACTTACCTCCAGCAGCAAACAGCACACAGTCTTTTCTGCAAAAGGATCAAGGGATAAACCATGGTGAGTGTCGGGTGCTGGCAGCCAGCCGGCCCCCAGCCGCTGTCCGATCTCGTTGCTTTTCCCTGTCACCACAAGAAATAGTGTATACTCGCTGGCTTTGTTCCTGGGCATCAGGTCCAGGCATTTGAGAAACGAAGAAGGACAGGGACAGAAAGCCAGAATGATGGAACGAGAAACCTGAACTGTAAGGAGGGACCAGCCCAGGTGGCACCGTTGGTGGCTTACTAGACTGCAGTGCTGAAAGCCCACGGCCAGCCAAAATTTATATCCTGGACCCAGTCAACCATGGTTCGGATCCCAGACCCAATAGTGGGTGGTGCTTATGAGTGCCCAAATCCTGAGGAATTCGAGGGTTGGGGGAAGGAGATTGTGGCATGACCAGACCCTGTCAAGCATGCTTCTCCCCCAACACACACACACTGTCGATCATGCATGTGCCATGTGCACATTCTCTCTATCATAAATCATAAAAAATTTTAAATTAAAAAAGAAAAAAACATACAAATCTGGGCCAGCAAGTCCTGTGGAGGTTAAGGTGGCTGGATTCCACAAGGCTGCCTTTACAGTTCAAGTCACAGTTTGAAACTCACAGCAGGCACATGTGTATGCATGCCCAAAATCCTGAGAGGAGAATGGGGGAGAGGGAAGTGCAGCATGGTCATTCCCCAGTGAGGGGTGAGGGAGTGAGAGGCCATGCCCCTCACTTCCCCTGTCTGTCTCTCTTTCTCTCTGGCAAACACACTTACTCTAGAGAGGGAAAAAAGTAAAGAAAGAAGTGAAAATCCTAGGGGGCATGTGGAACTCTAAAAGTGCCCTGTGCCTGATGGGAATTTTTTTCTTCCCTTGAGAACTGAGCCAAGGTGTGTCTAAGAACAGGGCAGTGGGGAACTACTCCTCAGTTAGATGGTCTCCTCTCAATTTTCCACCCCTGTGAGGGGAAGCCCTGATGTAAATAATCAAAAACACAAAGTCTGCCCAGCAGGGAGTGAGACCATCGTCCTGCCCCCTGCGCTCCGAGACGGGTGCCCCACAGAGCCTCTCTGCTGGGAGCAGCCTGGTTCTAGCCCCTGGAATGGCTACCAGCCGAGGCAGGTCATTAGGAGCTGACCACAGAGGAAGGGTGCAAACCAAAGAGAATGCTACTCCTTTGGTGAGGAGGCAAACAGCTGCTTATAGGTGATGGTGGAAAATCAGAGACATTTCATTTATTTACTTATTTTTTTAGCTCTATCTTTACCAAAAAGTCTGAGAAGGTTCCCTAAGGAATAGACAGGTGGAAAGTCAAACTGAATGAAGATGACTATCTTCAAATGCTCCAGCTGGGAGCTCTCAGGACTGGCTACTGCAGAACCTCTAGCCTTTAGCCCGTGAAGACAGAGAAGGGCCAAGTGGGGAGTCCATCAAATTTATATATAAAGAGAAAAAGTTCCTCCGCTAACTAATGAGAGTTAATTACACTTAACTTCAAACCTAGGAAAGCCGTGGAACAGAAGCACCCATCAATGGATTTGTCACCGCATGCTAGAAATTGGGATGACTTCGTAAAGGGCTAATTATGCCGGATCAGCTAAAGAGCCTCTTGTGGTGGAGTGGGACGGTTCAGGCGCGGCTGTCAAGGAGGGGAGGTACCTGCCGTCTGGCTAGGCCTCACACACGAGCTTTGTTCTCTTTAGATTGCTGGGCTCTCGGGTCATCCTGTGGGAGGATGTTGCTTGGGAGGGAAGCCCCAGCCTGACAGTGATAGCTGGCCTAGTTGGCATCCTCCAGGCCTGCCTGCCGCCATAGTCTCCTGGTAATGACCCTGTAGTCCTCTTCCCAGTGACTTGCAGAGCACCTGAGAACGTGTTTGCTGAGAGTATATGGCCCATTCACCAGGAGGAGACCCAGGGGCTTGTGGATGATCAGAAATGAACTTGCCTTGTGCAAGAGCAACCAAGAGCCTCACGTGGCCCCCCAGGCTTGGAGAGCATTCTCCCAGGAGGTGAACCTTCGAGGAGAATGAGAGGTTTAGATTAATCTCCATGTTCAGTTCAGTCCAACTCAATATACACTTTTAAGATCTTTGCCATGAGTCAGGTGGTGGCACGGTGATAATGCAACTGGGCTGCATGGGAAAGGTCCTGGGTTCATGTCCTAGGGCCTTCCTGAGCACGCTGAATATTGGAGGAGGAATAACTTGGCTTGGAGGCTGAGGGGGCTGGACCTTGTTTTCCAGAATGCAGAGTGGAAGTGTAAGCTCTGGGGTAGGGCCAGGAAAAGCAAGTTCACATTCAAGTTCTGTCTCTAACTTTCTGTGTGTCCTTGAACAAGTCACTTAACATCTCTGAGTCTTACTTTCAAGGCTGATTAATTTGTGATTCTAATTCACAATCCTCTAAAAAAAAAAAAGTCCAAGAGTTCCTCACTGCCTACGGAATAAAGAATTAGCCCCACATAGGAGACCCGCTACAGTTTGGCTCCGAACCCCCTAACACAATCCTGATCATCCAGTATCACCTTATCTTTCCCCCCATCTCTCCCCGGTGCCATTGCCTAGAATAGTCATCTGTCTTTACTCAACATTTAATGAGCACCTATTATAATACTATGCGCCAGCTCTATAACAAGCACTGGAAGCATACAGACCCACTGATGTCATGTGTGCACTTCAGGGAAATAGAAAAGGGTCCAGGTGCAGCCCCATAGCAGGTGAGCAGTTAACCAAGGACCTTCATCCTCTACTCAGTTCCTCAGCCAGGCATCCTAGTGCAGTGTGTAACCTGTTCGTCTGTCCTGGACTTAATGCATCTGTAAAGAGAAATGAACGCCTATCAAAAGATGCGCCATGATACTGGTAGCACAGGAAGGCACTAGCTCAGGCTGAAGACGCAGACAAGGTTTTTCAGGAGAGGTCATGCTGAGCTGAATTTAAAGGACAAGTACAGGGCCGGCTGGTGGCATGGTTAAGGTGGCTGGATCCCACACAGCTGAGTGCTGGACCCAGCAGCTTGAAAGCACGCACCAGAAACATGTATGTATGTGCCCAAAATCCCAGAGGAGAAATTGGGGGGAGGGATTATAGCATGGCCACCTCCCTAGGGGATGCCTTCTCACTCTCTCTGGCACGCCCATGTGCCCTATAGCAAATTTTGAAATAAATAAATAAAATGAAGGACAATTATAATAAGGAGTTAGAGGGGCCAGCAGGTAATATAGTGCTTAAGGTGCTAGATAATCCCACATGGCTGACCACAGTTCGAGTCCTGGACCTGGTGGCTTGCTTTCTCCTTTTCTCTCTCTCTCTCTCTCTCTCTCTCTCTCTCTCTGTCTCTCTCTGGTCAAATTAAAATAAACGAGTGAATAAATTTTTTAAAAAGAAGAAGGAGTTAGACAAAGAAAATCGGATTAGAATGGTAAATTTTATGGTATGTCTCTCTTACCACAATAAACTTTTTTTTTTTTTTAAGAAAGCAGGGAGGGTGCCTAGATGAAGGGAACAACGTGTAGAGATCGAGTCTCTGCATGTGAGAAGACACAGGACATGAAACTGGGTAGGTGAGCGAGAGCCAGATTACGCAGTTCCTGTCGAAGTGCTGAATGTAGGAGTTTGGACTTGGCCCTGAAAACTGCATGAGCTGTTAGAAGAACCGTCTTCCATCGTAGTACAGTCACCCCGATGGCAGTATAAAGCATGCTCGCGGGGCCACTCAGAAAGCAGCCAGAACACTTGTATACTCTTGTAATCAAGGTGGCCGGGTGACAGCCTGGCTCTGGGCAGTGGTGATGGGCAGGTAGAAAGGGGTCAGGTCAGAGAAATATTGTACAAAGGAGGAAAACGCCCAGGACTTTGGCCTGGAATACAAGAAAGAGTATAGCATGATATCCACGTTCCTGGCTTGGGCAGCTGGCTGACTCGTCCCACTGCTTCCAGAGAGGGAGGAGAGGAAGGGCCGAGTTCAGCTGGGGAGTCAGCGAACTTTGAAGTATCTGGGAAACAGCTCCAAGAAGATGTCTGCAGCCGTTGCATGTTTGGAACCAGAGGTCAGGAGAGGAGAAGGGGCTGGGAACAGAGGCTGGAGAGTCAGCAGTGTTGATAAGGACAGTGGAAAAAAAAAATAAACTGATGGGACCAGCAGTTAGCATAGTGGCTATGATGCTGGACTCCCATGTAGTCGACTGTGGTTCGAGTCCCGGACCCAGTGGCTTAAACTCACACCGGGCGCACATGCATGCGTGCCCAAGATCCCAAGAGGAGAACGGAAGAGAAAGGACTGTGATGTGGCCATCTCCCCGGTGGGGGGCGTGATTTCTTGCTTTCTGTCTCTCTGTCTCTCTCTGTCTTTCTGGCAAGCGCACACACCCTATAGTAAAAACTTCTAAAAAAAAAAAGAAAAGAAAAAGAAAAAAAGTGATAAGAAGCAAGTAAGGGACCAGCAGATGGTATAATGGTTACGTCGCTGGACTCTCACATAGCCAACCATGGTTGGAGTCCCAGACCCTGTAGCTTAAAACACAGGCCAGGCACGCACACCCAAGATCCCAAGAGGAGAATAGAGGAGAAAGGATTGTGACATGGCTATCCCCTGTGAGATGATTTCTCACTTCCTGTCTCTGTCTCACTGTGTCTCTGGTGAGTGTATGTGCCCTATAACAAAAATCTCTCAAAATAAAAAGAAAGGTGAAATTCATATTTTATATATTGGCAGAGGGCATGTGTGCTCACCAGAGAGAGAAATAGAGAACCCCTGCCCCCAGTAAGGCGTGCTCATTCTGCAATCCGTTCTCCATTCCTCCATCCTATTGGGATTTGAAGCACACACACAGGAGCTGGCATGTTTTCAAGCCACCAGGCCTGGGATTTGAACCTCAGTCAGCCATATAGGATACAATTCTCTATATATATCATTTAACTGCTGTAATAAGGGACTAGCCCTGAAATTCATTTTTAAAAATATTTTTTCTTGGGACCAGCAAGTGGCATTGTGGTTAAGGCACTGGATTCCCTCATGGCTGACCATGGT